TAATAACAACAAACAATTCGTGAGACAGATAACCCTTCTCCTGTAACACCATTATTGTGTCAGCCTATTTTCTATAGCACAGATAGAGTGTTCCCTTTTGAAAAATGGGGAAAGGTGGACCAATAGGGCTTAAATACATTTACAAAGGAGGCACTCCTTTGTCTGGAATAGCTATACAACAAACGGTTCAAAACGTCTACAACTGCATGTTAATCCATCAAGTCATTTCCATAGCATGGAATTCTGCAGACAAGGGACAAAGTCATTAACCATGTTTGAAAACTGTTTTCTTTGAAAATGTTTTATACTGTACATGTCAGACCCTAGAGGCAAAGTCTTAATTTATTTAATTGATAAAGTGTTGCTAATCTTTCAATGGCAAAATTATCCAAGTGGAAAACAAGACAGGAAAGAGACTTGGGACAAGAGATTGATGATACTTTATTGGAAATAATGTGGCAAAATAAAAAAAATAAATCACTTTTGAGCTATTTCTGCTTGTGTATGAGAAAGGAGTGCCTCCTTTGTAAATGTATTTAAGCCCTATTGGTCCACCTTTCCCCATTTTTCAAAAGGGAACACTCTATCTGTGCTATAGAAAATAGGATGTACCTGCACAACACATTGGTAAGTAAAATGGACAAAATGACCTCTCCACAATGTTGGAGAAACTGTGAGAATGATGGAACATTTATACACATGTAGTAGGAATGCCCACTGATTGATCCTTTCTCATTGCAGATATTTCAGGAAATAGAACAAATTACATCTTAGTTGACTACTTTAGATCCAAAAATGGCACTAATTTCAGTATTTGAGGATGAAATACTCAAATAATATCTATTATTAGGGTCAGAGACTTAATTTTGCATCTTATAACTTGCATTGTTATGCGAACTAATATCCAGATTGCTATGTTTATTCTTGGGACTTAAAATTGATGAAAAGGTTGTCAATGTAAGAATCTATAAAGCTTTTATAAAACGTGGTTCAATTTCATTTCATCTCCAACAAAGAATGAGCATGCTTATAAACCATCCAAGACACACGTGAACCCATGGAATGGCACTTTTTAGATTGGCAGCTATTGAATTCATGTTTTATTTTATAATTACTAATACAACTGGACCTAGCTGGAGTTGTTAAGGGGGACAGGGGAAAACTGCAATTTGTTGTATGTTTGTTCAAAAGTAATAAAAATAGTTTTTTTTGAAAATGCTTTCCTAACAAGAGGAAATTGGGTTTAAACCGAACCTAATTAATGAGAGCTGATAATTTAAATAAAGTTGAAAGAGGATGGTTTCTATGATCTGGTACATTGGTGGGAGATAGAGGCTATCAAAGAAGTGAGGTGTGTCAAGGAACAACAAGGCAAGGAACAACCCACAGGAGTGGAATGTTCCTGAAATTATTAAAGTTGGATTCAGTTAAAAGAAAAATGGAGGGGTGTGTGTAGGACGAAATAGTACAATTAAATGCACGAAGTAGCATATAAAAAGGAAACCCAGGAGAAGCTTCCAGAATCTTATTTGATGAAGCTGAAAACACCTGTTGTGACCATCAGAGACATCTTTTCCTTTATTTTTGGGATTGTGAGTATGCTATCTCAGGTTGGAAGCGAATATCCTTTCCCTTGAAGTGGGAAATAGAATCAGCAGAATGCTCCTTTCAGAAGTGCTTTTGTTCAGTCAGGACACAGAACAGGGAAAAAGGATTCAGCCTATGCTAGAGGGAATAATACTTCTCCTGAAGACACAGGTTCACGGTCTGGGCACGCTCCTGGCTGCAGCCCTGAACATGGCTGTCTAGGTTTCTGCAGTGGATAGGAGAGGATTTGCAGTTAAGGCTAGCACGCCAATTCTGCCTGTTCCTTGAGATGATTGAGTTGCGCAAAGTGACACATGCCTTCCCTACATCCCGTTTGAATTATTGTAATGTGCTGTATGTGGGAATGCCTTAGGAAGGTGCTCAGAAACTTCAACTGGTTCAAAGACCTGCAGCCAGACTGTTGACAGGGCTGGTTATGGGGAGCACGACACCTCATTGCTAGAACAGCTTCACTGGCTAGCAATCTGTTTCCAGGCAAAAGGAGACTAAATGTTTCAAAACCTTGTATAAGTTTGTGGAGGCTATTATCTGTGTAACAATATGAGTTCAATTTCACTAGGCTCAGTAGATTCTTTTGATGTAACTTTGGCTTTGAGGCAACTACGAGCCCCAAGTCCCTGGTGCAGAGGAGAATTTCTCATAAAAGATTTAGTGATAGCAATGGTCAGGGATGGATTTAGAAAAAGATTAGACTTACTCATGGTGAATAAGTCAATAAATGATTAGAGGTGGCCCAAGGCATCGTACTGACCGAGACAAGCAAAACAGTGCCCCTCTCAAATATGCTACCTGAGGCAGTTGCTTTATTTTATCTAATACAGTGGTACCTCAGGTTACAGATGCTTCAGGTTACAGACGCTTCAGGTTACAGACTCTGCTAACCCAGAAATAGTACCTCGAGTTAAGAACTTTGCTTCAGAATGAGAACAGAAATCGCGCAGCAGCAGCGGGAGGCCCCATTAGCTGAAGTGGTACCTCAGGTTAAGAACAGTTTCAGGTTAAGAATGGACCTCCAGAACGAATTAAGTTCTTAACCCAAGGTACCACTGTAGTAGCTCCAACAATGGCCAAAATCATCAAGTTTGCTGATGACACTACGGTGGTAGGGCTCATTTCAGGAGGGGATGAGTCCGCCTATCGGGACGAGGTGGAGCGGCTCTGTGTTTGGTGTGGAGAGAACAATCTGGCTCTTAATACGGCTAAGACCAAGGAATTGGTGGTGGATTACAGGAAAAAAAAGGCGGACATTCAGCCCTTGTATATCAACGGGGAACGGGTGGAGAGGGTGTCGGAATTCAGGTTTTTGGGAGTAACTATCGATCAGGGCATGACTTGGAGCGCACATACCACTGCTCTGGTGAAGAAGGCCCAGCAGAGAATTTATTTCCTCAGACTTTTAAAGAAGAACAATCTGAGTGAGAGACTGCTGGTGTCCTTCTACCGAGGCTCCATAGAGAGCATTCTTACATACTGTATTTGTGCTTGGTTCTCCAGTTGTACAGCTAGGGAGAGGAAGGTGCTCCAGAAGGTCATAACCACAGCCCAAAGGATTATTGGTCATCCTCTCCCATCTTTGGAAGAACTGTACGGTTCCCGTTGTCTTAGGAAAGCAAATAACATCCTGCAGGATTCATCTCACCCGGGACACAGTCTGTTTGCACTACTGCCTTCTGGCAGGAGATATAGAAACATCAAGTCAAAGACAAATAGACTGAAAAACAGTTTCTATCCAAGAGCTGTGGCCTTTTTGAATGCTGTAACTCGATAGTGTGACCTGGGAGTTTGATGGGTGTGGGTGTGGGTGTGGCTGGAAGGGGGTTTGTTTGGTTGTTGTTGTTGTTTTGCTTTTGTTGTTTTAAGGGATGGCATCCAATTTCGTTGCACTTTGTGCAATGTTGCACTTGTGTAATGACAATAAAGAATCTATTCTATTCTATTCTATTCTATTCTATTCTATTCTATTCTATTCTATTCTATTCTATTCTATTCTATTCTATTCTATTCTATTCTATTCTATTCTATTCTATGATGGCTGCATACTTCCTCCAGAGACAGAAAAACACCTTATTTATTCTCCCTGACTAATGGATTTAACCTCTGTTGGAACACTTTTAGTTGTCATTTCTTTTTTCTTTTTTTAATAATATTTATTAAAGTTTCAAACAAAATTACAATAATACAAAAAAATACAAAAATAAAAAATAAAATACAAAAAACAGAAAAAACAGAGTAACAATTAAAAACAAATCAATCTTTCCATATCTTATCTTTCGTTCACTTGTTTCTCTGACCTCCTCACACCTCCCTTTTTTGCATCCCAGTTCAATTAATTAATTCAGCAAATCCTTTCCCTTTTTGTTCTTATCTTAATCCTTTATCTTAGTATATTATTACTTCAAATTCCCATCTATTAACAATCCATTTTTACATAGACCTTAACAACATTGCTGCTAAAACCACTTAACTTCATTCCAACATCATTCTAACATTCATTAATTTTGCAATATTTCTGTAGATAGTCTTTAAATTTCTTCCAATCTTCTTCCACCAACTCTTCTCCCTGGTCTCAGATTCTGCCGTTCATCTCCGCCAGTTCCATATAGTCCATCACCTTCATCTGACATTCTTCCAGTGTGGGTAGATCTTGTGTCTTCCAATACTTTGCAATAAGTAGTCTCGCTGCTGTTGTGGCATACATAAAGAAAGTTCTATCCTTCTTTGTACTTACTCATGGTGGATAAGTCAATAAATGATTAGAGGTGGCCCAAGGCATTGTACTGCCCGAGACAAGCTAAACAGTGCCCCTCTCAAATATGCTACCTGAGGCAGTTGCTTTATTTTATCTAATACAGGGGTACCTCGGGTTACAGACTCTGCTAACCCAGAAATAGTACCTCGGGTTAAGAACTTTGCTTCGGGATGAGAACAGAAATTGCGTGGCAGCAGCGGGAGGCCCCATTAGCTAAAGTGGTACCTCAGGTTAAGAACAGTTTCAGGTTAAGAATGGACCTCCAGAACGAATTAAGTTCTTAACCCAAGGTACCACTGTAGTAGCTCCAACAATGGCCATTATGGCTGCATACTTCCTCCAGAGACAGAAAAACACCTTATTTATTCTCCCTGACTAATGTATTTAACCTCTGTTGGAACGCTTTTAGTTGTCATTTCTGTTCTGCTCTACATTCACTGTTGTATTTTTATCCATGCTATTTCAGTCAGGTGCCCTCGTAGGGTGAATACTGAAATCCTTGCCTCATAAGGAATTGCTACATCCAGCCAGCCAGCGCCGTAAGACACAAAGCTACAAGTGAGAGATAAAGGGAAGAGTAAAGCTGGAAGAGAAGACAATGAATGTTCTTCTTTGCACTGCCACTGCTGCCATGCTTTTCATCATGGCTGAGGCTCAGACTGCTAGCATGCCTTTTGAGAAAGAATTAGGTGCCACTCCCGAAGCCTTGCCTTTGGCTACCTGGCTAATAAAAAAGACTACCAAGTTGTATAAAACGCTGTGTAATCTGCGAGGCACATGTGATACCGATTGGAGTCATCTGCCTCAGGAACATTTGCTTATCCCAGAGATCCCTAGCGAAGGTAAATGCTCCCCCTCTACATTTGAAAAGGAAGGATGCCTGGAACTCCTTGCAGAGGGACTTTTTTCATTTAGGATATTTTTGGAATACCTGCAGGAAACTTTATTTCCCAAGAAACCGGAGCTAACTCGGTACTTGTGGCCAGCAACAAAGTTTCTGGCCAATAACTTGAAGTCACAGCTGCAGAATCCTGACGGCATGAAACCTATACCTGATGCCATTGACGATGATCTTGCTCATAAGCTAGCAATGCATACTGGTTGGACACCTGCAATTCTCAGGCACACCATACTTAGAAGGTACCTGAAGTTTATGGATACAGCTGCAAGTGCAATTCGGTACATAAACACATCATAGATAACAGTAAATCTTGTGCATCAACTGGCATTTAGAAGAGGACAACCATTTGGACAAAAAAAATGACCCCGAGTTTACCAGGAAAAAATGTTTGAGAAGCAGCCCACAGCTGACCACATCCTAATCTCCCCAGTGGGCCAAGATTGAGAGGTGGAAAGGAGTACAGGTATAACAATTAATCAGATCATCAGTTAGAACCCATTTAAAGTCTCTGCAGCCATGAAACACACCTAAAAGTGGATAATTTGTGGAGAAAACCTTGAAGATGCCTAGAATACTTGCTCGACTGAAGAGAAAGCAGCAGGTGTTTAAAGTGCTTTGAATGCAAACTTCAGTCATTGGAAAGAACGAAAAATAGAGGCTCGCAGAGAAAACTGGCAAAACCACTTTTCCAGTGTTTCCTAATGGAAGCACTTGACTAACTTTAAGTTAGCTTCAGAACCAAACAAAATATAGAAATATCGTTATACTTGAGCTACAAAGGGAACTGCATGTTTATTTATTCTATGTCCCATTAAGTCATCAGAACCCCCAAACAGGTTACATAAAACATCCATTGTGTACCAATAAAAAGAGAAATTAAAAAGAAGTTTTCAAAATGTTAAAACCAGCAGTTTCGAAAACAAGAAAGCACAGCATATTGTTCTACCTGGAACGGGTGATATTTAGCTGAGAGACGAAACAGCAGTCATTCATTTATTATGGTAGGTCCTATGGCCTGCCCATGCTGATTTCTAAATTTAGAGAAACAACCAACAAATAACTATTTCCTTCCTTTTTACAGTCTCAAGAGACAGGACTGATCCATTTTGTGATTCAAATCACTCTTGAAAAACTGGTATATATACTGCCTAGTTTCAAAAATCAGAGAAAAACTTATAAAAAATAGGAAATTATCAATGCACAACATGAAGATTATAAACAATTGCTTCTCCACAGAACCATGTCTCAAGATTTATGATGATTATGAATAACTTTTGTAGGTAAAAGAATAAGAGGGAGAGAAAAATAAGGTTATTTTGGATGAAGAGTGTCACAGCTATAGGCTTGTATGATAAGATTGGTATAATGTCTCCTAGGATAATATTGTGAAGGGCAGGAATGAAATGTTATTGATAATAAAAACAAACATTGAAATAAATTTCTTTAAAATCAATGTGATTTCTTGTTCTACTAATTCTCCCTTCCTTCCTTCCTTCCTTCCTTCCTTCCTTCCTTCCTTCCTTCCTTTGGTAATTGCTTTAAGGTTTAACTGTACACATTCTCAAACAATTAATCACCCAGATGCATGGATCATGTTAATCACTTACAAGCAAGATGAAAAAGCAGGATGTTAGAAACAAGAAACTACAGGTTTCATAAGGAAGAGCAGGCATTAATAAGTGGAAAGTCTGCTGATTGCATATGGCAGAATTCCCTCTAACATTTAGAACCAGCAAGAATTTCTAGGACAAAAGAATGCCTGTTTTGTCACTGGGCAGAATGTTACAAGCAGATGGTACTCACATAACAAAGATGACTATGAATTGGCATTAATAGGTGCTTTCTGGGAGAAAGTATGGGATATGTATGTTAAAGCTAAGTATATCTACAAGATTCCAGCTTCTTGCCTGTAGTTAGTTCAAAAACGTCTTCTCCAACCCACCTTCCAAAAGTGCAGCTTTCAAAAACGAAATTTTATGCCTGACCAAAAACAAAGGGCAGAGGAGGGAAAGTGGAAAGCGCTGAATAAAATGTAGGTTTTTGTAAGGGCCTCCAAAGTGTAGTCCATAAGGAACGCAAGAAGGTACATGGATCCTTTTGTCCATTATTCTGATTTGTAAAAACAAAACAGAAATAGCGAAATATGGACACTGTAATGGCAGGACTACTTAATTTATTTATTTGAATAAGCTTTTATTAAAACTTTTTTGTAATACAATACAATAAAATGAACTAATCTAGATAAAAACCAAAACGAAGAAAGAGAGAAAAGAAAATGCACCCAGGTTCTTTCCTTCCATCCCTTTACCACCGCAATGGAAAGAAAGAAAGAAAGAAAGAAAGAAAGAAAGAAAGAAAGAAAGAAAGAAAGGTAAACAGGACTTCTGGTTTTCCACCTGTCATTTACATAAAAGAAATCATTCAAAACATTCATTCTAATAGGACATCTGAGTGTTCTATTTTCAACCGAGCAATTTCAGACCCAAATGTTTCAAGTTCACTTCTTTTCCTTTCCACACAAAAAACCCCAAAAGCAGTTCTCTAATTCCTATTATTAACAATGGGGGACACCTGGCTTACTAGCAGCACATGTGAAAAGGATCTAGGGGTCTTGGTGGACCACAAGCTAAACATGAGTCAAAAGTGTGATGCAGCAGCAGAAAACCAAGATAATGCTATTCTAGGCTGTACCTGCAGAAGTATAGTGTCCAGATCACAGGGAAGGAGTAATACTGCTCTGTTATGCCTTAGTGAGACCACATTTGGTGTATTGTGTCCAGTTCTGGGCACCACAATTTAAGAAGGATCATAGAATCACAGAATTACAGAGTTGGAAGGTAACCCTGAGGGTCATCTAGTCCAACCTCCTGCAATGCAGGAATCTCAACTAAAGCACCCAACCACTGCTTTAAAAATTCCAAGGAAGGAGAGTCCACAACCTCCTGAGGGAGATTGTTTCACTGTTGAACAGCTCTTACTGTCAGAAAGTTTTTCCATATGTTTAGTCGGAATCTCCTTTCTTGTAACTTGAAGCCATTGGTTCGAGTCCTACCCTCTAGAGCAGGAGAAAACAAGCTTGTTCCCTCTTCCATGTGACAGCCCTTAAGATTTTTGAAGATGGCTATCATATCTCTTCACAATCTCCTCTTTTCTAGGCTAAACGTACCCAACTCATTCAAACACGCCCAACTCCTTCCATACCCTTGATCATCTTGGTTGCCCTCCCTTGGTTGACCACTCTGAACATGTTCGAGCTTGTCAACATCCTTCTCAGGAGTGATGTATGGAAGTGGGAGCTGGACCATAAAGAAGGCTGATTGCCAAAGAATTGATGCTTTTGAATTATGGTGCTGGAGAGTCCCATGGACTGCAAGAAGATCAAAACTATCCATTTTTAAGGAAATCAGCCCTGAGTGCTCACTGGAAGGACAGATCCTGAAGCTTTGGCCAATACTTTGGCCACCTCATGAGAAGAGAAGACTCCCTGGAAAAGACTCTGATGTTGGGAAAGATTGGGGGCACAAGGAGAAGGGGTGACAGAGGACAAGATGGTTGGACAGTATTCTCGAAGCCACTAACATGAGTTTGACCAAACTGCGGGAGGCAGTGGAAGACAGGAGTGCCTGGCGTGCTCTGGTCCATGGGGTCACGGAGGGTCGGACACGACTAAAGGACTAAACAACAACAAATTGTATTGATGTAGCCTAGAATAGCATTGGCCTTTTCTGCTGTTGAGTCATGCTAAGCTTGTGGTCCACCAAGACCCTGAGATCCTTTTCACATCTACTGCTAGCAAGCCAGGTGCCCCCCATCTTATATTTGTGCACCTGGTTCTTCCTGCCTAAGTGCAGAAGCTTACATTGGTCCCTAGTGAAATTCACTTTTTTAGCTTGGATTTTTTACTTCTCCAATCTGATAACGGTCGTTTTGAATTCTGATTCCATCTCCCACAGCATTAGCTGCCCTTACCAGTAAGCTGATGACACAAAGCTCTAATTCTCCACAACACCTGAACCAGGTGGAGCTGTGAAGGCTCTGAATTTGTGTCTGAATGAAACAGAGGGCTACATGAGAGTGAATAAACTGTACTTGAATACTGGAAAGATGGAGGCTATTTGGGTGACTCCCTTATTCGGGAGATAGGCAAGTTCTCTAGTTGGGATAAGGTTGCACTCTTTCTGAAGTGTGTAGCTTGCAGGTACTCTTGGATATATCTTTGTTGTTAGAAGTCATAGTGCCCTCTGTGGCTGGGATTGCCTGCTACCAGTAGGCGCCTTCTGTTTTTGAAAGCTGTACCACCTTGGGTGTGTGGATGAAAGAGGATGGTTTCTGTGATCTGGTACATTGGTGGGAGATAGAGGCTATCAAAGAAGTGAGGTGTGTCAAGGAACAACAAGGCAAGGAACAACCCACAGGAGTGGAATGTTCCTGAAATTATTAAAGTTTGATTCAGTTAAAAGAAAAATGGAGGGGTGTGTGTAGGATGAAATACTACAATTGAATGCACGAAGTAACCTATAAAAAGGAAACCCAACAAAAGCTTCCAGAATCTTATTTGATAAAGCTGAAAACACCTTTTGTGACCATCAGAGACATCTTTCCTTTCTTTTTGGGATTGTGAGTATGCTATCTCAGGTTGGAAGCGAATATCCTTTCCCTTGAAGCGGGAAATAGAATCAGCAGAATGCTCCTTTCAGAAGTGCTTTTGTTCAGTCAGGACACAGAACAGGGAAAAGGGATTCAGCCTATGCTAGAGGGAATAATACTTCTCCTGAAGACACAGGTTCACGGTCTGGGCACGCTTCTGGCTGCAGCCCTGAACATGGCTGTCTAGGTTTCTGCAGTGGATAGGAGTGGATTTGCAGTTAAGGCTAGCACGCCAATTCTGCCTGTTCCTTGAGATGACTGAGTTGCGCAAAGTGACACATATCTTCCCTACATCCCGTTTGGATTATTGTAATGTGCTGTATGTGGGAATGCCATAGGAAGGTGCTCAGAAATTTCAACTGGTTCAAAGACCTGCAGCCAGACTGTTGACAGGGGCTGGTTATGGGGAGCACTTCATTGCTAGAACAGCTTCACTGGCTAGCAATCTGTTTCCAGGCAAAAGGAGACTTGCTGTTTCAAAAGTTATGACTTAGCACCTTGTATAAGTTTGTGGAGGCTAATATCTGTGTAACAATGTGAGTTCGATTTCACTAGGCTCGGTAGATTCTTTTGAATTAACTTTGGCTTTGAGGCAACTACTAGTCCCAAGTCCCAGGTGCGCAGGAGAATTTGTCATAAAAGGTTTAGTG